AGCTTCAAGGTCCTTTCCAACCCATTCCAGGATTCATCCCAGAGCAAATAATTTAGAGGAAAACCAGTCTGGGCAGGAGCAGCTCCTTCATCCTCCAATTATTCCAAAGGAAAAGAGACAACGTGTACTTTGGGGGTGTTTCAGGAAGTGGGGAAAACTTCTGGGAGTGAGGGAAGCCCTGGCAGGGGTGGAGCCGTCCCAGCAAACATCAAATCCCAGTTTGGAGAACGGGTGGGGGGCTGGTAGAGCCCAAAATGCTGAGCCTGGCCTGAAAGGGATTATTTTGGGATGCTGCCCTTGTCCCCCTGCTGCACCTCTGTCCCCTCCTGTGCCACCAGAAGAGCTTTGGTGGCAGTGCCACCGCCCAGAGCCCCGCTGTGATTTCCCTCCCCCTCTAAATGAAGCAAAGGATTAATTGGCTAAATTTAATTTGCTAAATTTAAAGAGTTAAACCTGCAAATCCAAGCGCCAGGAGAACAATGCCCACAAGGCCAGGAATGCTGTGCCATGGCACCCCTGTGCCCTGCAGCTTCCCCAGGGAGGATGCAGCATTCCAGAAGGGAATGCAGCCCCATGGATCCTATCCCTGCCCCCCAAGGAGCTGCAGGTGAGTGCCCAAGGTGCCTATTCTTAAATTAATTGGCCCTAATTTGGCATTTCGGGGTGTGGTGCTGGAATCTCAGGGATGCACAGGGCTGGAAAACCTGGGGCAGAGCAACACCCCAGTGCTCCTGACCCCAAAGGCAGGGATTGGGATAACAGGAATGCAAAGGGACTGCAAGATGTTGTGAGGTTTTTGGAGAGGAGACAACTTTTCTGTATGGATAAGCTGTAGAATATTCCACTCTGCCAGAGTATTTATCCCAGAATCATCAAATCACAGAATTCCAGAATGGTTTGGGTTGGAAAGGACCTTAAAGCTCATCCAGTTCCAGTCCCCTGGGCAGGGGCACCTTCCCCTCTCCCAGTTGAACTCCGGCAGATTTTCCTGCCTGTGGAATGAACAAACCCCAGGAATGCTCACAGAGGGCTTGCAGCAGGAAAAGGAAACATGCCCTGATCTCAGGGCAGTCCTTTTCCTTTCAGGAAAGGGAAACTCTTTGTGTTCAGAGGAAACTTCCCTTTCCTGCTTTATCCCGAGGATGTTTTTATCCCAGCATCATTTCCCTGGCAAATCCCACCTGGGCAGGGACAGTGCTCAGCTCTCTCTGGGAGTCGGTTCAAGGAAAAAACCCAAACCCCAGTTTTAAAGTAAAAACACAATTTGGGAGCTCTGGGTGGACATGAGGGTGTTGGGATAAACACCCAGCTGGCAGAAATGTTCCCATATTTAGGCATTTATGGTGTTTTAAGGGTGGTTGTGATTTTCCTGATTTCCTCTTTCTCTGACCCAAAAACTTCTGCAATGTAGCAGGAGAGAACACAAGGAACCCATTTTAGAATGGGGTTACAGCAGTGCCAAAATAGAAAAATCGAATCCATTTAAATCTTATGATAATCAGCAAACTGCCTTTGAAACTAACACCAGGAAGAGAATAAAAATCTGGTTTTTGTGATATATTTCTGCCTCAGAATCAACCCCACAAGCTTTGTTTGTATTAAACCTCCTCTGCACTGAATAAAAGAGCTGTGAACCAGATTCTTTCATCTCCAAGGGTTTGTGTTCACACCCTTGAAAATTCCTACAAATCCCGGGTTTTCCATGGTGTTGGGAAAGGGTTTGTGGAAGAGAGAAATGCCATTTGTGCAGCAAGAGCTGGCTCCTTCCTGAGCAGGTCGAGCAGAAATATATTCTGTGTGTATAATTAGAAGTGAGGAGGGTTTACTACGAGGTCAAAAATTATTGGATCTGTCTGCAGTGGGGAGAAAAAAAAAAAAAGGGAAACTTGGAAAAATCACGTGTGTGATGTGTTAAACCTTGTAAGAAAACAAACTTGTCTCAGGACAGGGCAGCAGGGAGAGATTTGCAAGGACTGGCACCTTAAAGCATGAATTGAATGAAGGCTGAAGCAGCTTTATCCCACTAAAATGGGAAAATTGGGATTGGGAACTGCCTGCCACTGGTTTCATGCTATTCCAGATTCCACACCAGGAAATTCAAGGAGAGGGAAGCGCTCTTGTCCTCCACAAAACATTATCAGTGCAGTCATGATGAAGGGAAGAAACTTCCCCAGCCAAGATCCCATAAATCAAACTGTCCCCAGCCTGGGAGCAGTGAGGCAGCTCCTCCTTTGCTCAGCAAAAATTCCCTTTTGAGGCTGGTGGTGACGTTAAACCAGCCCCAAATAAAGAATTGCACCACACAAATTGTGTCAAATGCCACCCCCTCCCAACCTTGTGGTGAAACCTCTTCCCCATGTAATTCATCTCCAGGATTTTGCTCCTTCCTGCCATTTGCTGGGATTATTTTTAAAACCGCACTGTGCAGTTCCTGATTTTCTGGAGTTTCAGCCACCAGGCAGCCTGGGAGGGAAGCAGGGATCAGCTGGGAACAGGGAGGGATTCAGCTGCTCCTGGGGGTCAGGAGAGAAAATTGGGATAATCCGGGCTGAGTACCTGGAGGAGACACCTCAAGGGAAAGGTTAATCCCAAATAAACCTGTGATATTCCCTGTGTATCCTGGCCCTTTTATCCCTCCAAAGCCCTGCCTGGGGGGCAGAGTCTCCTCCAGAAAAGCTGGAGAGGGATTTTTAACCAGGACAGAGCAATGGAGAATGGCTTCCCACTGCCACAGGGGCCTTGGGAAGGAATTCCTCCCTCAGAAAGCAAGGGAGAATGGCTTCCCACTGCCACAGGGGCCTTGGGAAGGAATTCCTCCCTCAGGGGAGGGCTGGGATGGAACACCCAGAGCAGCTGGGGCTGCCCCTGGATCCCTGGAAGTGTCCAAGGCCAGGCTGGATGGGGTTTGGAGCAGCCTGGGACAGGGACAAGATGAGTTTGGAGTTGAGTTTGAGTTCTCCCACGCCACAGGGAGAAGAGGGGACGGCTCCAGGACACTGAAACCTCGGTGCCCTGTTCCCAGTGTTTGTCCCGTGTGGTGTTGGTGGGGTTTGGTACTCCCAGGGCTGCCAGGATGCCCCTCCCCGCTCGCTGCTGCCCAGGAGCGGGATGAGGAGTCAGACCTGGCACAGGAGACCCCTCCCCTCCCTCTGCCCGGCCTGGTCTCCCCGGGAGGAGCAGCTCAGCAGCCCCAGGAGTTCCCTCTCCTTCTCATCCCTTAGGAATTCCTGACCATTCAGGCCGTGGGGAACCTCGAAGGGGGATTGCCCCTGAGCTGTGCCCACTCCCTGGGTGTCTGTGCCTTGGCCACCTCCCACCCTGCACAACCTTTCATTTTTAACCCCCTGTGCTGCTCTTGGGGTAGAGTTCATTTCCTCCCAGTGGCTGGGACTGGCTGGAATTATATTTTGGATTTCTGCTGGAGACAGAGTGGATAACAAAGAGATGTTTTGATTCTCGTGGGTGACCTCAAGGGTGTTTCTCACACAAAACCCTGCCCCAAAATCAGCTCCTAACCCGCTGCAGTGTTTCAATAATTCAGTTAAGGGTTGCTGGTTCTCCCCTGGCCCTGAACTGTGCCCCTCCAATCCCAGGGGGTTGGGATTGCAGGACCAGAGGGCAGCTGGCTGCTGCCACATCTCCCACACCCCGTGTGGCAGCTCCTGATCCATGGGATTGATGCTTCCCATTTCACCACAGTGCCTTAAAAGGTCTCCTTGCCGTGGAGTTGGGAATGGGAACATTTGCGTGTTAAACTTGGCTTCGGTGACCCAGAATGCAGAAACTAGATTAGTTTTTTTTAGCGGAGTTATTTATAGGAGACTCTTAACGAGTTACTTTAAATTACTTTTAAAGAAGGAAAAAAAGGGAGAGGGTGGCAGCAGGGATTTGTGGCGGGTCCCTGTGGTCCCTCAGGGCGTGGGAGGGAGGATGTCACTCTTTGTCACTCGCTGTGACTCCCTGCAGTCACCCACAGCCCCACACAGAGACGATGTCACCTCCTCCCAAACCCAGCCATAACATCATGGCATGGTTTGGGTTGGAAGGACCTTAAATCCCACCCAGTGCCCCCCCTGCCATGGCAGGGACACCTCCCACTGTCCCAGGTGCTCCAGCCCCAGGGTCCAGCCTGGCCTTGGGCACTGCCAGGGATCCAGGGGCAGCCACAGCTGCTCTGGCAATTCCAGCCCAGCCAGGAATTCCCAATTCCCAATCTCCCATCCACCCCTGCCCTCTGGCAGTGGGAGCCATTCCCTGTGTCCTGTCCCTCCATCCTTGTCCCCAGTCCCTCTGCAGCTCTCCTGGAGCCCCTTCAGGCTCTGGCAGGGCTCTGAGCTCTCCCTGGATCCTTCTCCTCTCCGGGGGAGCACCCCCAGCTCTGCCAGCCTGGCTCCAGAGGGGCTCCAGCCCCAGGGCCATCTTCTTGGCCTCCTCTGGCCTCTCTCCAGCAGCTCCACATCCTGCTGGAGCCCCCAGGCCTGGGGGCAGCTCTGCAGGTGGGGTCTCACCTGAGCAGGCAGAGGGGCAGAATCCCCCCTCCCGTGCTGTCCCCGCTGGGATCAGCCTGGCACAGGGAGGGTTTTGGGGCTGCCAGTGCCTGTGCCCGGGTCAGGCTGACCTTCTCTTCCACCAAAACCCCCAAATCCCTTCCCTCCGGGCTGCTTTGATCCATTCTCCAACCAGCCTGCTTGGGATCACTTGGGATGGTCCCGACCCAACAACTGTGGGAATAAAGAGTAACATTTAAATATAAATCCTTTTTTGTGTAACAAAAAAAAAAAAATAGTTACAATAGCTACTACAACAACATCAGCTAATATCTTAGTTCCAATTTTAAAAAAGAAAGCCATACCAAGAATAATAGAACAGAATACCAAGAACACGGGGTTTTCTGCCCGTCGGAGCGGTGTTTCCTTGCCGCCAGCCGGCGTTTCCCGCAGCTCCCGAGCGGCGGAGCCGGAGCCCGGCCCCGCTCCGCCCCCGCCCGCTCCGCCCGGGGCCGCCCCGCGCCGGCGGCAGCTCCGGAGCGCGGGGGCGGCCCCGGGCCGGCGTTTCCCGTGCCCGGCGGGCAGCAGCGCTCCGGGCATCCCTGACACGGCCGCCCTCCGCTTCTCTCCGGCAGGATTCCCGGGAGGATGGCATGGATTTAGGCAGCGACGCCGGCAGCAGCCGCTCCAGCTCGGAATCCAACTCCAGCAAAGCCACGCCGTGCTCGGAGGGCAAGTCCTCGCCGTCCCCCAGCAGCCTGGACCTGGCGGCGCTGGAGGACTCGGAGGAGGAGGAGGAAGAGGAGGAGGACGGGGGGTCCCCGCCGTCCCCGCCGCGCTGCCCGGCCGCCCATGGGCGCCGCTGCGGCCCCGCGGCCGCCGCTGCCCGGCG